TGTAGTGTCATTCCTTTCTGCAACTATATGTCAAATTAAAAACACAATTAAAATTTAAACTGTTTCAATCAGAGGGTGCCCTGCAACCTATGTTTCACTTAATAGAACTTTGATGAAAATCTGATGGTTCCACTCTATCATGAAGGCGAATAGAGCTGAGGAGAGCAAGAGATTCTTTATATTTATTTAAAATACCGGAGCTCAGGAGAGCCGAGACCAGGTGACCAAACCTGGGGGAAGCGGAGGTTTCATTCCCCGGAGTGACCGGCGGGGCCGCTTCGCGCTGCGCTGGGCGATACGCGTGTCCCCGCGGGGGGACAGCCGCCCCACGGCCCCTTCCAGCCCCCTTCCACGGAGTTTGAAATCGCTCCGATCGAGGGGATTGGCTGATTTGGGCGCTAAAATATGCACGGACGGCTCGGCAGAGCCACCAAGGCCCCGGGCGCGGTCTGCGCTCCCCGCGGTGCCCCCGCACCCCTGGGGGCTGCCCGCAGGATCCGCGTCCCCTTCACTTGATATTCGTCTAAACAGCTCCAGAAGTGTCCTCTGGGCAGCTCTGGGGGCTTCCCGGGGCTGTGATCCCGGCAGAGGTTTTATCTCGGCTCGGTGCGGTGAGGAGCGAGGGAGGCTCGGGCGAGCCGCTCCCCGCACGCAGGGCGCACTCACACCGCTCCCTTCCCTCCTACATAAGGTTTCCTATTTTTTCCTTATTTTTGAGGTGGTTCTGACCCCTCAAACCACGCTTTCGGGTAGGTGAAGGTCCGCGGGGACGGCGGTGGCGACAGGTCCCACCGGCCGGTCCCCAATCATATGGGAGCGGCGAGAGAATAATTTGGATGCGGGAGAACAAACCAAGGTCATCAACACCGCCGAAAGAGCGCAGGAACAATAGATTCATTTGAAACAATATTTTACAGACGTTTTACGATCAATATGAACTGAAGCATTATGCTGTACCAATCTGTTAATGCTCTTAATGGTCTTCTCATTCCGTTAGCACACTATGCCAAGTCGATAGAGTAAAGTGATTATTACAGAGACACTTGCAGCATATTTGGAAAAAAAAAACCCTGAAACCCAAACCCACAGGGTTTTCCACCACTGTTTTAGAGCGGGATTATTCCCTCGGAGCGGCTCCGCGTGTCCCCACCTCTGCCGCCCGTTCTGCACGTCGCAGACGCCGACAGCAGAATCAAACATTTCCCACCGACCTGTACCAGAAAATTTGAAAGTATTCGGCTAAAAAATAAAAAGAATTTATCAATAATAATTAGGATAAAAAATACCAACCTCCCAACGTGGGTCGCCGGGAGCGTGCGGCTGCTGGAGGGGCCGGACCGCTCCTGCCTCAGCCTCCGCAAGGCAAAACTCTTCTGAATCCCCAAATCTGGTGGCCGGGAAGTTTATATCTTTCCCCCCGCTGTTTGCTATACACAGCAACCCCCTATTTACTACCAAATAAAAGAAATACATGTGTGTTTCGACCACAAACAGGCGAGCTAGTTCTGTTCAGCCCTGCTCAAAACAGTGGCCGAGAAGAACCGCGTTATCTCTCCAATTGCAAACAAAGGCAGAGATTTGCCGAGCGCGGCTGCAGCAGTAAACACGAGTGGTCGCGGAGTTGCCAACAGCCGAGAAGATCGAAGCAACTTTGTTTGAATCGCCCCCACCTCCCCGACAGAGAGTTTTTGTTTCTGTGAAGATGATTTTCCTTCCACCACTCAAAGCGATTGCTTTCACTCCATCCCGGAGTGATGCGGGATCTCCAGAAAGTTTAAGCAGGGCCAGAGGTGCGGGAGGAGGGGGTTGGGGTTCCCTTGGCAGCCTGTCCCGCTCCTGTCCCTCTCCTGTCCCGCTCCAGGCCGGCGCTCCCCGCCCGGAGCGCAGCGAGGAGCGCCGGGGCTGGCGGAGCCCTCGCTGCTTCTCCTCGCAGGGAGAAACGGAACCCTTCGCTTCGCGTTTCGCTGGATCCTTGAGGGATAGGACGGAGTTTGGGGACACCTCCTGAAGGCTTGAGAAAAGCCTGAGCGCCGGGCCGGGCTGGCTGCGGATGAGGACGGACAGGAGCATCCCGCTATCCCGCTCCGAGCCATCCCTCCCGGCCGGGCTGTGCGGAGCTCCGGTTGCGGGAGGGGGGCAGCGAACCGGGCTCACCGAGCCTCGGCCCAGGCCCAGCCTCGCCGCCAGCTCTCACAGCATCCGCCTGCTGTCGATCCCGCCGTGCGCAAGCGGGAAGCAGAAAAGCTGGGATCTGCTGAGAATGCTTAGTTTCTTTCTTTTTTTTTTTTTTTTTTTTTCCTTCTCCTTAATAATAATTAAAAAAAAAAAAAAATCCTGCCGAGCCCCACCAACCCCACCACGATCATGGTCTCCCTGGAAATGCCCGTGACAGTCCCGGGACGGAGCCGCCGCCCGCTGCCCGCACCCGCGCAAAGGCCGCGCTGCGGAACCGGGGCCGCGCTGCTTCCATCGGCTCCTTCCTCTGCTGGGAGACGGCCAGGAGGGTCCGGAATCGTTTTCTGAGCGCTGACCAGAAATAAATGAGCTTTTTTTCCTTGCCGTTTGATAACATCGTGCTGCCGCGCTGTAAAATGGAAAGACGTATTTACTATGACAACAATATTTTTAATGGGCTGCAAGCGACTTGTCCCAAAGTTGGTACTGCAAACAGCAAAGGCATCGCTCTGTTTGTAGGCGACACAGCCAGCACCGAGTTTTGACCCCGAAACTCTGTTTATTTTTCATTTACGACCCATTGCCAGGGTTTTTATCCAAAACGAAAAGAAACCGCGGGATTATCTTTTCGCAAGGCTGAGTTTTATTTTGATTTCTTTGGCCCCAAATCCTGCCCTCGGCGCTATCAACACGTCGATTCGGGCCAACCTGCGGCGAGCGGAGAGCGATCCTATCTCCAAATAAACCCTGCCGGGGCTTGGAACACGCGTGACGGCCGCGGCCGTGGGCACGGGGCTGGGGCACCGTGGGGGAGGAGGAGGCACCGGGGGGCGCAGGGGAAGGGGCGCCGGGAGTTCAGGGGAAGCCCTGGGGGGGGAGGCGGCGCTCCCGTGGGCAGGGACCCCCTGCTGCCCCCTCCCAGCCCTGCGACCCCTCGGGGGCGAGCCGGGCACCGTGAGCCCCGGGGCTGCACCAAGGCAGGCTTCCCATCCGCGTTCCCTCTGCCCATCCCGTTCCCTCTGCCCATCCCCGTTCCCTCTGCCCATCCCCGTTCCCTCTACCCATCCCCGTTCCCTCTGCCCATCCCGTTCCCTCTGCCCATCCCCGTTCCCTCTGCCCATCCCTTCCCTCTGCCCATCCCTTCCCTCTGCATCCCCGCTCCAAGCAGAAAACCCCAGCAGGATCGGCTCCGTGCCCACCCGCAGCCCCGCAGCTCACACACAACCTTTGACTTATTTTGTTAGTCTCACTTTTTTTCCCCCCCATGTTGTTGTTTATTCATCTACTTTTTTAATTATTATGTTTTTTTCCGCCCGAAACCACACTTTAAAAATGATAAGGAACGGGTTTTATTGATTTTTTTTTTTTTTTTTGCACCACAACATTAAGTTTATAACAATATAGGCTGTTTTAAAAATAGGACCGATCCCTAACAGAAAGCGAGAGGGCAGGGGGTACAACCGAAATTGGAGAACAAAATTTAAAATCGAACAAAGAAAAGAAACCAACTAACCCAAACCCTTGGGAAGACAGCAAACAATTGTCAGACAACAGGTGAGCAGACACTAAGACAGAGAGAGACTAGAGGTGTCCACTCCTCACTTGATTTCTGCCTATTAAAATCCACATACTCAATGGACTTTAGAAGAAAACTGTACATCATATCAAATAAATTAAAATTCCCCTAAAGTTGATTGTCCTTCACTTAAAGCGCCCAGCTCACCGAATCTCCCTTATTTATTCGCACAAGCCGGGCCGATGCTAATTCCCATGCCCTGCTCCTCTCTTCTCACTTTCCTTCGCTTTTCAATCTTTTTTATTTCATTTTGCACAACATGAAGAAACGCAATTTTACAATGCTAAAAACCCTTTCCTCACCATTCAAATAAAAGCAGTGCTTTAAGAATCGTCGTACAATATTGCACAGTTTAAAAGTACAATAATATTAATAATAATAATAATAATAATAATTAGTATTACAAAAGAAAGCAAAAGGGCACAGATTTTTTTTTTTCCCCCCCCAGATACCGAAATAACTTTACAAGGAAAAAAACCTGAAACAACCCGACAACTAGGAAAACAAGAATTATAAACAAGAATTAAAAATGTCTAAGTAAACGATAATAAATAAGGGTCACTCAAAGCGTGCGAGTGTATTTAACCGTTCACTTTGAGGCTGTATTTCTTGCTCGTGAAAGTCTCATGGCAGAAACCGAAAGGTACAAAACGTGGGCAAGCAAAGAGGCAAAGGTCTGCTTAAATGAAAAGCCGTGGTCGATGAAGTTTGAGTCACGACAGGATCAGGAGCCTGAACAATTATTTGGAGGCAGAAGGAGAGATCCGAAAGGAACAGAAATTCAGCTTCCCGTTAGCGTTTGGCAAATCTCGAGGAGTGGCCTGGGACCATTCGTTTTATTTTATAACTATCTTTTCCCCCATTTTTTTCTTTTTTTTTTCTTTTTTTTTCCTTTTTCTTTCTTTTTTTTTTTTTACAAAAATAAAACTAAAGCCACAGAGAGAGAGAGAGAGAGAGAGAGAGAGAGACCATCGCGGTTTTCATCCACGTTTACAAAAGGTGTGACAGCTCCAGGGTTCTCTACAAGTCCCCGCTTTCATTTTCCTCATTTTCGTTTCCCACCCCCCAGATTTTTAATCTCTTTTTTTCATTATTTTTTTTGTTTTCCTCCTGAATTTCCGCGGCTTTCCTCCTACCCCCACCCGCCGAGGGGTCCCCCCAGCCCCGCACTCGTGTCGCCCCGCACGGGGGGCTGCAGTACTTACAGGCGGCCGGGTGCCTTGCGCGCCTCTCCGCGCCCCTCCCGGGCTCACACGGGCCGCAGCAGCGGCACGGAGGTGACCACGGGGTGCGAGTAATAGACGGGGTGAGGGAAGGTGAGCAGGGGCTGCGTGCCGGGAGCTCCGCCGCCCCCCGCGCCCCCCTCCGCGCCCGAGTTCTCGTGGTAGAGGATGGGGACGCGCACGATGCGCTGCGCGGCCGCGTGGCTCAGGTTGGCCGCCTCCAGCTCGGCCGCCAGCTGCCGCTTCCACTTGTTGCGGCGGTTCTGGAACCAAATCTTCACCTGGGTCTCTGTCAGGTGCAGCGAGGCGGCCAGGCCGGCGCGCTCCGAGCTGCTCAGGTAGCGCTTCATGTCGAAGGTGGACTCCAGCTGGAAGACCTGCGAGCGGCTGAACACCGTGCGCGTCTTCTTCTTGCGGCACGGCTTCTTCTCGGGGCTCTCCTCCCGCTTCTTCCAGTCCTCCGCGCCTCCCTCCTTCTTGGCCTCCTCCGAGTCGCTCTCCTCCAGGACGATCTCGTCGGGGCTCTTAGAGTCCAGCTCCTTCTGCTCCCCCTCCGCCTTCAGCAGCGGCTCCGGGGAGTCCCGGTCGGTGCCCGAGGCGGGGGACGAGTCCCTCAGCAGCGATTTCTCTGCGGCTGGAGGGGAAAGGACGAAGCGGGGCGTGAAGAGGGGGGACACGAGGGACACAAAGAGACACCTTCACCCCCCAGGCCCCGCGTCCCGTTCGGGGGAAACGGGACGAGCCGGCCGGATCCCCGCGCCACCCCCCGCCCCGCCGTCCCCGGGCCCCGCCGCCCCGCCGGGGAGGGACGGAGGGAAGGAAGGAGCGATGGAAGTTGTGGGGACGGTACCTTCCGTGCGGGGCAGGTGCGCTCCGGCCGGCGTCAGGGCGTAGGGGTACCACCAGGTCTGGGCGCGCTCCAGGCAGTGCGCGCTCAGGGCGAAGCGCGGCGCCGGGATCTCGAAGCGGGGAAAGGCGAGGTCGCCCACCTGCGAGAGGGCGAAGCCGGCGCCGTCCACCGCCGCCTTGCCCGAGGGGGCGAACAGCGCCCGCGGCTGCTTGGGGGGCGCCTTGGGGGGGCCGCCGTTGAGCAGGTTCTTGATGTAGAAGGACTCCTTGGGGGGAGGCGGAGGGGCGCTGGGCGGCTCCTGCCCGGTCTCCGGCATCCTCCGCTGCCCGCCCGGCTCCTGGCCGCCGCTGGCCCCGCGGCCCGCGCCCGGCGCGCAGGTGGCGGCTCCCGGCGGCGCGGGGGACAGGCGCGGCGGGGCGGCGTGGGAGCGCGGCGGCGGGGCCGGCCGGGGGCCCCTCGCATGGGGGGGCGGCAGCGCGGGGGGCCGGGGGGACCCGCGCAGCCCGCGGCACCGGGGCGCTGCTGCGGGCAGGCGGAGAGCCGGGGTCGTCGCTGCCGCCGCCGCCGCCGCCTCCCGCCGCCGCTGCTGCTGCGTCAACCTGACGCCGGATGCTAATGATGAAATCAAAATGTCATCCCCGTTCCGCGCGGGGAGCACGCGGCGATTGGGCGCGCACAAAGGCGAATGGGATCAGGCGGGAGGCGGCGGGAGGAGAGCGCTCCGCGCAGCCCCTGCTCGCAGCCGCCCCGGCCCCCCCGCCCGACGCGCCGCCGTGCCCGGAGGCGGCGACCGCCCTGCCGCCCGCCCGTCCGTGGCGTTTGCGGAGTCCAATTAGGCAGCGAGCGGGGCCGGGCCGGCGGCACAAAGGGAGCGGCGCGGCGGCGGCGGCGGCGGCGGGCGAATGGCACGGGCCGCGCCGCTCCTGCCTCAAAACCGCCCCCGCCCCGCCGCGCCGCCCCCCGCGCCCCCGCCCCGCGCCGCCGGCAACAAAAGCCGCCCGCGGCCGGGGGGAGAAGCGGGCCGGGCCGGGCCCCGCCGGGATACGGGGCACCGGACAGGCTCCGGCCGCAATGCGCTCCGCTCCGCTCCGCTCCGCCGCGGGGCAGGAACGACTGAGCGGCCTGCTGCGGGGCGGGGGCGGCGGGACAGCTCTGCCCCGACGGTGCCGGTGCCCTCCGCACCGCGGGCAGCCCTGCCGCCTCCCCGGGGCCGCCGGGACACGTCGAGCCCGCGGCGGAGCGGCGACAACGGGCACGGGCACGACCCGGGCCCGCCGCTGGTGGGATCAGGGCATAAGGCGGCGGGATTCGTTCCTGCCCCAGTCCCGGGATTCGTTCCTGCCCTGCTCCTGGGCTTCGAGCTCCGGGCGCTCCCGGGGTTCGGTCATGGGGCGCTCCCGGGATCGATCCCTACCGCTCTCGGAATGCGAACACGGTGCTTCTGGGATCCATCCGTGCCGCTCTGCGTGTTCGGGCACGGGGCGATCCCGGGATCCGTCCCTGCCCCGTTCCCAGATTCATCCCCACTGTTCCCGGCTCCATCCCTGCTCCGTTCCCAGTCCCGTCCCCGCCGCTCCCGGGGTCCGGGCGCAGGGCGCCCCCTGGCGGGCCCGGAGCGCTCCCCGCACCGCCCGGGACACCGGGAACCGTGACGGGAGCCCCGGTAGGGCCGGAATACCGCGTACTGCCCGCCCGTACCCGGGGAAGGGAAGGGAAGGGAAGGGAAGGGAAGGGAAGGGAAGGGAAGGGAAGGGAAGGGAAGGGAAGGGAAGGATCAGTTCTGGCATCCTTCTAAACGTTTGGAATACCTTTGAGCGTGCACTGCACAAATCTGCCCTGGCACACGCAGAGCTCTGGACTCGGATGTGCTCACATGTGCATAGAGAGCAACAATCTCACAATCTCTACTTCTAAATATTTTAATGCCTTGATCAAATCTACCTGGTTTTTCTTGCTATTTCGTTTTAGAGACACCCACTTGGCAATTTGAAGCGAGACATTTTTTAATCTGGATCAAACTGCCCAGGAGTCTTTCCTCCTCCTGAGCACTTGGGGTTATAAATAGAGGGAGAATTTGTACAGAACCAGTCACACAACATTTTTGGCTGCAACAGACATGGTGGTTCATGTACCTTCCACACATCTTGGGGATGGGGTCTCAGCAATTGATAGTTTGCAGAAATATTCTGTTATTAACAACTGTTTCTTGTTCCTGCTCTCATTAACAGCTTAAAGCACCTGGTAAAGAAAAGGTCGTTGGGAATTTTCCAGAGAAATGCTGTTTCTCTGAGAATATCCCTCAACTCTGGGGTAAAATGTACAGAGGAACAAACCCCAGACAGACAGAAATAGTTTCTGTTCAGAAAACAGCCAATAGCCCCTAACTCAGGCTCCTGCCTGAGACCTGGGCTAAAGCTCTGTGCTGAACGTGTGCAGCTCTTACATGAAAAGCCAAGGGTGAAAAGTTCTTATAGAAGATCCCAGTGCATTTCGCCATCTCAGTGAAGATTTTATTTAGATATGAGTCACCGAAATAATTCTGAGCTGAAGCTCCCACTCTTTTCCATCCATCTTTCACTGCTTTGGTAATTATGAGGTCCTAATCCCTTTGGAGTCCCTCAGGGCAAACAATTCACGGTAGAAAGCCAAGCAAGGACAAAAAATCAAACCAGCCTCTGGTTAACTTAAAAGAAATTCCCACTTTGCAATTTTTTACTACAAAACAAACAAGCAAAACCCTGCAGTGTTCTAAAAGAGAATTTTTCTATTTCTATTATTTAAGGTCCATAGATTTGTTGTTTATTTATATATTTTATTTATCCCCCCTCCCCAGCAATATCAGGATGTTAAGGACCGGTATTGACCATTCCCCCCTTGCCCACTGGTGATGGAGCTGAGTGGGTTTTGCTGCAGTCTTTATTTCTGTTTCCAGACTTTCACTCGCAGCATTCCATTGTAAACAGATAATTATTATTTCATTAGTGTTGCAATTCAGAATTAATTGGCTAATTTACACATGGATCAATTGTATAAATGTGATGTTTGTGATGGGTGCTTGATATGATTTAAAGTAATTGTTTATTTTCGGGTTTTGGCTGTATTGTATTGCAAAGTGATTTATCTCCTTATTTATCCTGTCTCAGCACTGCCTCTTCTTTTCCATTGTTTTTCTAGCAGGAGCTAGGCTGGAGCATGAACCCGTGTGCTGTGATTCTGTGGTGCCCCACTGCTAGGAGCTCCAAAAAGGCTTGCAGCCTGCTGAGGAGGGTGTGCAGAGCACAGCAGCCCCGTTTCCCTGGCAGGAATTACCCACCTCAGCCCCTGTTTCACCCAAATTCCTGCCCCATCTTTGTCTGCCACCCCTGAGTGTCCCCACTGCAAGCACAGGTGACAAACTTTGTGTCCCCTTGGGTTCAGCTTTCTCTTTTCCACCCTGAGGAAAGGGCAGGGCTGAGTTTCCTGGTCCCTTTATTTGTTCAAGAAGAAGTGGAAGAGTACTTCTTCTTGTATACAAGAAGAAACTTCTTGTCTCCTGAAGAAGTTTGCACATCTGGGCTTCCAGAGATTGTGGAGAAGCAGAATTCCAGCCAGGCACTGCTTGATTCTAGGCTGACATTAAACATAACCCCACAGGAGAGTGCTGAGGCACCTCCTTGCATCAGTTTGGATGTCCAAGGGGAGAAGGAGGAAAGGAGAAGACATTTAACAGCTTGCACCCCTCACACCAACACTCCTTTCCCAGGCAATCAAAGTGAATCCTTCCACCATCTGATTTTGGAGCTCCTGTCACGCTGTCCAGGCACATAAACCCAATTTTGTGAATGCCAGAGATTAACTGCAGCAGAGTCTGAGCTCTTCTCAATGGGTCTCCATTTCCTATTGCAAATCGTTCCATATTATCAGGGCCTTTTTAAAATCTGAGTTTTTAGCATTTTTCTGTCAGTCTTTCAAGTGCTCTTTCTGAAATGCATGGCTGGAAACAACCAGGGCTCAGCCAGAGAAGGGATGCTGCTTCCTCATCAAAAGGAATGTCTCCTGTGGGATGGATTTGATAAGGATGTTCTGTTCGAGACTGGAAAAACTACAAGGGAGTTTTGCTTGGAAGCCTGTCTCAGGTTTCCCCAGGCTGAGTGGATCAGGGTGTATGGCATGTGTGTGGGTTGAGAGGTATTTTGGAACAGTTAAAGTTGTTCCCTTATTATGCCTTACAATGGCATTTTTGTGCCTTTAAATGGAAGGCTTTGTTAGTCTCTGCTTTCCAGTGGCTTCCTGGAAAGCTGAGAGTCCTCCCTGACAAATATTAGAATCTCCTAGTGCTTCCAGAAAGCAGGTTGTTCAATTTATCAGACTTTTATTTCTGAGGCTCATCACAGCTCCGTGTCTGACTCACAGAGATGGCATTTTTATCAGAAAAGGGGAGAAATTTCTGGGTTGTGATGTTTTTGTGAAACAAGTGCTGCTGCAAATTCCCTGTAATCTGGAGTAAATCCACAGGGACAGAACTGATGAGGTGATCCAAGCACAGCCTTTGTCTCACAGAGCACTGCACAGGTACTCTATAGAATGTGATAAGACTCTCTGATCTCATCACAAACTCATACCACATATCCCCACATATCCCTTGCTTTTGTCACTTTGTCTTGCCCACCAGAATAATTTCTGGAAGGTTTCATCACCCTGGCATTAGTCATGTGGGCACAATTCATCACTTCCACAGGTGAACTCACCCAGTGGAGGTCAGCTAAATACACTGGAGGAAATCCTTTGTGAGAAGTGCCCCTGGAGGGTTTGAAGGCAGAGCATGTGCTGTTCCTTAACATCTTATCCAAACACAAACTTCAGCTCATCTTTCAAAATCTGTCAGAAGGAAAATGAATAGATGGTGGCTTTGCAGCTTTATATCTGAAGCCCAGTGCTTTTATAGGTAATTGTAAACTTTGAATCATGTAAAATGTAAAAACACACAAAAATCAAAACCAGGACTATGTAAACATCAGGATTGGTGAAATCCCAAATAACCAGATGTGGCCATAAATAGGTAATTTATTCAATCTACAAAAGAATCCTATCACCACACTTGAAAAGTGCTGAGTATTTCCAGCTCCTCCTGGAAGAGAAAATTGCTGCAGAGCTCTGTGGTGGCTGTGGCTGGAAAAGAGGTGTTCAGAGCCACACTCAGATTTCAATCTCAGATCCAAACTGTCCCTTTGCAGAGAGCCAACAGAGAGCAGAGCAGATCCAGTGCTCGTGTGCAGGGCAGCTGGACCATGTGCAGTTTTAGGAGTTCTTAAATAATCATTGATTTCAAAAGTGTTA